CCCAAACGCCATCGATCTGAAGAACTACGTCTGGAAATACTACCAGACCAACACGCCGCTGGCCAAGGAGGAGCAGTGCGTGGGAATTGGGCAGACCATGGGACGCTGGCTGAGAACCTTCCATGAGTGGGCGGCGAGTCCGGAGCAGGTGAAGCTGCGGAGCCTGGCTGTTGAGAACAAGGCTCTGCAGAGGCTCAAGCATAGCACCTACTACGTGTACCTCATCAATCTCATCGACAAGTTTCCTGCTTTGCTTGAGAACTCGAGGGACGATTTCGAGCAGGTCAAGGCGATGTCCGAGGATGAGCTGAAGGACGATTCAGCTCTTCAGGTCGTGCACGGAGATTTCTGGACTGGGAAGTAAGTTCTTTTCTTTTATTACTTTTTTCTGTTGTAGCGGTGGTTTTCTAAACTCTTGCTGTTTCAGCGTTCTCCTCCCAGACCAGGAAATCGACCAGCCCGCTCACATCCCAATGTTCGTTGTGGACTGGGAGGTCGTCTCCCTGGGCGTAAGGGCCCGCGACATCGGCCAGATGCTGGCCGAGATGTACATGCACAAGCTCTTCAAGGGCATCAATGCTGGCGGGTGGCTCATGGAGGGGTTTCTGTCCGGATATGGTGGCTTGGATCGTGATTTGGCGTTCAGGGTCATCATTCACATAGGTTGCCATCTGATTGTCATCGGCGGGACCGTCGACGACTGGGGTGGCTCAGCTGAAGACGTTGAACGTGTCGTTGATCATGGGAGAGACTTGATTCTTGGGGCATGGCGTAAGGACGACCATCTGTTTACGAACGGATTGTGGGGCCAGATGCTTAACAAGTGAGTAGCACTCGAGTAAAGGTCAATACGCCAGCCGAATCAATGCCGGTTTCCCACACCTATGCCAATGCTGTTTGGTACACTGCTAGCAACTTTGCTCCCCAGAGGTGCCGACTTGCTAGGTGATTGAACTAAGAACTTGAGTTTACACCTCTTTCTCCTTGCCTTCTGTTTAAGATCTCTTTCTTCCCTTTCTGTTCCTTTATTTCGTCGTTGGAGATTGTTTTCCTTCCTTCTTTGTCCTGTTTTCCCACCTGCATATCTCACTGCAAACTCGCCTCTCCTCTCTTGGTTCGGGCCCTCTTTACACTAAGAATGTTTCCTCAATCCAGTCAGTGCTGAAGAATAAGATTCTTCAAGGTCATTTCCCTACCTGCCAAGTTGTGTTGAGAGAAAGCTGTGCATAGAGGTATATACCAGACGGCATGATGATTCCAGTTCTCTCGGCATGAATATGCATTTTCGACGACCTACTTGGGATTATACTTTTCTTTTGGGCCACGATCTGTGTTAATCCTAGCCTCGGTTGTCACAATCACTCACGAGCATTTGGCATTCGTTGGTCTGGAGCAACAGAGTTTAAAGGCAACAGAAAGAAACGGCAATGCTCACTTTGAAGACTGGCTTTAAGCAACCGGCACGTTAGCCTCGGCTGAACTGGACAACATTATTCAAATAATCTTCAAGAACAAGCCCCAGAACTTTGGTGACTCCCGTTGAGCCGACATCTAACCTTCTCAACGGCGAGGTCAAGGACATGATATCACGGGATAGAAATCCAGTCCAGGATTATGTTTACGCCATTATCGTACGACGTTATTATTTTCTGCAATCGTCAGGGGCTTAATGCAATCTTTCCGGTGGGCAATCACCTTGGGTGTCAGATACTTCCGTTGAGGGTCCTAAAAGAGCCGTCGTGGCTTCAACTTTATCAACAGGGGACAAGTAACCGAACAACTATGGCTAACTGAAACTCAATCGAACGATACAACCTTGGTTGTATACGCGAGCTCGAAAGTCAATCCAAGCCTTTGGGGAAGGGATGATCTCATCATTCATGGGCTGAAATCATGTGCCGCCTGTCAACGGGTCTGCCAAGACAGTGCCAGCCGAACTGTTGACATGCACGTGTAAGGGACTTTTGCTCGTGTCTAACGTGTGAGTGCTGCAAAAACTATACATCAACACTGCTCTCCCCTCGCAATTTCCACCACAGTCTGCCGTCTGGTTCCCTGGAAATCTGTGGTCACGGTGGAGAAAGCCACTGGAGTCGGTGTCCTTACCATACCGCAAGCAAGCCCGATGTTTGTAGCCTTGGAAACGAGGCAGAAGTCGGTGATTCGACTCGACTCGCACGCTGGAATCCGTGTAGTTAATTCATTTTGTTTGCCTACATCTAGCGAGCTCGAGGAAAACCGACGGAGTCTAGGTTCGCGTGTGGGGATGCAATTAAACTAACCGAAAACAGTCAAGACGAGGAAATGGAGTGGAATAAGTATGGTGTTTTCGCCTCGTGTCAACGGCCGAGAATATAATTAGGTATCCGGCAAGTTCTTATATCCACTTTCCGCGAGGTTATATGGGTCGGGTCATCCCCAGACAGTGCAAGAGCACCGATATCCTCCCATTGCATAAGAACTGGCCCGACTCCTATCCCGGCCCAGCCCCTTTCTTCCTTTCTCTCTTGTCCCAGCGCCGCCACTTTATATGCGAGAACATAGTAGTAGCACAGTCGAGTAGTGATTCTACCATGGGTGACCAGCCCATCTTCGGATTCCTGTCCCGCAGACCATCGAGCCAGTCGATGGTTGACACACCGCCGAGGGGCATAAGCACCTTCACTCGCTTCTTCGGTCCCGGTCTAAGTAACGACGGCGAAGTTAAACCTCAGTCGGCACCGGCAGTCATGGTCGGCCTGGAAGCGCGAGACCCGGCCGATGACAGCGAGCCAGAGCCGTTCCAACTGCCGCCACCAATCCTCCCCGTAATTTCAGCTGACGCCCCCTGGTACATGAACCCCCTGGGAATCAGTCCTGGTTCTGCCAATGCCCAGGCATTCGGGAGTGGCATAACTGCGGCTCCCATCTTCTCCGGCATCTGGGGGCGCTTCAGGCCTTCTGGGCGCTCCCGAAGACATAGCGAAGAGCCCCAGAGCAGCAGCAGCAGCAGCAGACGGCGCTTCTTCAACTCAATGGAGCTCCCCAGCCAAGGGCCAAGAAAAAGACAGGCCAGGGAAAACGACGAAGAGCTCGAAGTAGCCCTTCACGACCTCCGGATGCGCCACCTCCCCACTCCCGCCTACACCCCTCCGCCCAACCCAAGCAGCTCGCAACCGCCACCAGGCAAGTACAAAAACATCGCCCCTGACACCATCAACGGCCAGCCCGTACGAGAAGAGGCGCGCACGGAGTGGCTAGAGACGCCGGAAGAGCGAGAAGCCCGGATCCTCGAGCATCTCCGCGAACAACAAAACGAAGAGTTCAAGGATGAAGCCCGGGCCTTCGCCCGCAAACGCCACCAGGTAAAACGCAGCATTAAGAAGAGATTCCTGGCCCGTGCCGGCATTGCCGTGTCGCCTTCGCTGCATGGGTCATCGCTGTCCACGCCAGCAGCATCGCATCTGGAGCTCGCAACAGCAGCACACCACTCAATACCACCGTTATTATCACCTCGCCCACCACCTCTTTCGGTCTTGCCGCCCCCCAATGACCAAGACACAACTCCGAAAAGCCACCTCAAACAATGCTACCACAAAGTCTCGCGGTGCTTCTGGTCCGCCGCGGGTACCATCGCGGCATGCCTCGTCAGCACCCGCATGAAGATCACCTGGCAATGCCGGGCAAACGAGCTGAAGCGCCAGTACAAGAACCAGAGAGACGAGATGCGCCGGTCTAGAAAACAAAAACAGCAACAAGAACTGGCGAGGGAGCGACTCGGACGGCAGATCACTCAGTCCCCTCAACGTGCGGCGAATAGCCCCCGGCAACCATCATTAGCTGGTTCTTCTGACATGGAGCGCCGGGCATCAGACAGGATCCTGCCACACCGACGCTCCCTTATCAACCCGCGCGAGGGCTGTCCGCCCGGCATACCGCCCGTGATCCCTTTACCGCCGAGCATTCGGCGCGCCATCTCGCTTGAGATGATGGACCTCGCGCCCAAGCACCGGCAGAGGGTGACGCCGTACGACCGCGTCTCGACGTGGCGGACTTCGCCAGCCGAAGCCACCCGTGCGGGCCCGTCCAGAGCTTCTGCGATTTCTGTTCCTCCTTCTTCTGGGTGGCATCACGGTGGTGGTGGTAGTTCTTCAACGACGCCGTGGAGAGTGTCAGGGGATGAAGCCACCACGGCTGGCGGCACCCGCCCGGGTCCGTCCAGAGCATCTGCTCCTCCGTCTGCTTCTGGTCATCGTGGTGGCAGTGGTTCGACGTGGCCCAGGGGTGGTGGCGGTTGGCTACATCACGATGTCGAGCCCAGTGGATGGGGGACTTTGTCGCTGTCGGGCAACAACTCACGGATACACATGGCCGACGAGGACGAGGACGACGATGACGACGACGGCATCATGATGAAAGACTATCGGAGAAAAAGAACGCCAAGTCATAGCCGTGGCTGGAATGACCATGAGGGAGCTTGAAACCGGGGAGTTTCAGTCTTGCCCATGATCGAGCGGATTCTCTGTTTCTGCTCTTTTTCTTTGGTGAATGACGACTAACGAGCAGGAGACTTTGGGATTTTGGCAAGGTAGGCACAATGCGGGTTTGGCCGCGTCGTTTCCTTTTCGGACAGTCGTGAAGAAAGCCTGACAGGATCAGGAGAGGAAGGATAAAACGGAGAGCAAACAAACTAGCTATAGCTTTCTTATGTCAGGAATGTTGGGGCATTGGGAGTTAGTACTTGGGATATTGTGTGGCGGCAATTTTGGGTCGACCTCTGGGCAGGGGGTATGTCTGTGGAAGAACACATAATGTAATGATAATAGAAAGAACATAGGTAATAGAAAGAACATAGGTAAAAGGTAGAACAATTCGAATAGCGAACAATCAAATAAAAACCTTTTGCCCTTAAATTGCCCTGAAAATCTCTGTAATGGTCAATCTCAAGAGTCCAACAGACACAAGGACAGAAGTAACAAAGGAGTGAGTGCCCGCTCTTGGCACCAGGCAAAAGGAAAGTTCGACCCACCCAGGTCTCGAACCTGGAACCTCCTGATCACTAGAAATCGTAGTCAGACGCTCTACCATTGAGCCAGCGGGCCTGCATCTTGATAGACACGGTTATTGAGTCGTGTTTGATGGAGATTTGGGCTGTCGTTGTGTCTGAACGAACCAAGGTGTTTGTGGGCTGCAGGGGTCGAGTCTAGGGTTGGCTGTGGAGACAGATGCAGCCACTTACACGCTAGCCCCCGACTGTCGGCTGTCAGGGTTAGCAAGAAAACCTGAAGCCAACAAGGTTACAAGAACTTCTTCAATGGCTTTCAATTACCTTCGCCTTGATTTTGTTTATATTTCATTTCCGATTAAGCAGTTTGAATTTGAGGTTGTGCAGTTTGTGATGTGGTTTGTTTGCTTGGAACAAACAACGATGCTGCTGTAACACACGATCATGGTCTAGGGTCATCAACCCCCTGTAATAAAGTGCGGGGGAGGGGAGAGCACCCTAGAACCTGAAGTGTAAATTGCCTGACCCGTGGTGGCATGAACGAATCCGGTCTCGGAGGGAGGGGTCAATTGCCAGTGTGTGACTCCCGCCTGAGCTTCCCCAATCGAGTCACATTGGCCCCAAGAATTTTTTCGTCACCGTTTAAAGCGCGAAATCATTTCATGGAAGGCTCGCGACTCTCGACGAGCTCTTCACACCTTCAATTCTGTAGCGACAGCTTCTACGATGTCCCAATTACCCGATCCCACGGTCGGTCTCGACTGGTCGGGCTACGTTGGCTCGATCCAGGAGCACTTCAAGGCGCAAGCAGAGGCGCACCCTGACCGCACCTGCGTCGTCGAGACCAAATCGTCTACCACTCCAGAGAGGCGCTTCACCTACCGCCAGATCTACGAGGCATCCAACACGCTGGCATGGTACCTGCACAATGCCGGCATCACAAATGGCGACGTGGTCATGATCTGGGCCCACCGCTCTGTCGACCTGGTCGTGGCCTTGATGGGCATTCTGGTACGTACAGTTCCATGCCTTGCTTGCCGAGTCCCAGAGACTAACTCTTCTCTGCTTAAAGGCTTCTGGCGCTACCATGACTGTTCTCGACCCAGCCTACCCCCCTGCCCGACAGCAGATCTACCTCGAGGTCTCCCAGCCGCGCGCCCTGCTCAAGATTGGCCGTGCCACCGACGAGAACGGCCCATTGGCCCCGTTGGTGCAGAAGTTCATCGACGACGAGCTACACCTGAAGGCTGAGGTCCCCGAGCTGCGCCTTCGCGACGACGGCTTCCTGTATGGTGGCGAGGCGGACGGCCAAGATATCTTTGCGGCTGTTAGACAGTCGACGTCCTCGCCTCCCGATGTTATCGTAGGCCCCGACTCGAATCCCACCCTGTCCTTCACTTCGGGCAGTGAGGGACGGCCCAAGGGTGTGCTGGGCCGCCATTTCAGCTTGGTCAAGTATTTTGGCTGGATGGCTGAACGATTCAACCTCTCTTCCGAGAGCAAATACACACTGCTGTCTGGAATTGCGCACGACCCCGTACAACGAGACATTTTTACGCCGCTGTTCCTCGGCGCCCAGCTGCTCGTGCCTTCGAGGGAAGATATCCAGCACGAGAAGCTTGCCGAGTGGATGCGCGAACACAACCCAACTGTTACCCACCTCACCCCCGCCATGGGACAGATCCTTGTTGGCGGTGCGACGGCCGAATTCCCCAGCCTTCAGAGTGTCTTCTTTGTCGGCGACGTGCTGACGACGAGGGACTGCCGCGCCTTGAGGCGGCTTGCCCTGAATGCCAACATCATCAACATGTATGGCACAACAGAGACACAGCGAGCAGTCAGCTACTTCGAGATTCCCAGCCGCGCAAGAGCGCCAGACTTCCTGGACCAGCTCAAGGACACCGTTCCCGCTGGAAAAGGAATGCAGAACGTGCAGCTTCTGGTCGTGAACCGCGAGAACAAGACGGAGCAGTGCAAGGTGGGCGAAGTGGGCGAGATCTTTGTTCGCGCAGCTGGCCTTGCCGAGGGTTACCTGGGTGACCCAGCTTTGAACGAGCAGAAGTTCCTCATGAACTGGTTCGTCGATAACGAGAAGTGGGTCGCCGCGGACAAGGCGAACAGCAAGGACGAACCCTGGCGCAAGTACTACAAGGGTCCGAGAGATCGCATGTACCGCACAGGAGATCTTGGCCGCTATCTCGAGTCGGGCGATGTCGAGTGCGTCGGCCGTGCCGACGACCAGGTCAAGATTCGCGGTTTCCGCATTGAGCTCAACGACATTGACAGCAATCTGAGCCAAAACCCCTTGATTCGCGACTGCAAGACGCTTGTGCGGAGAGATCGAAACGAGGAGCCGATTCTCGTCAGCTACATCGTGCCCGAGCTTAGAGAGTGGCAGCGTTGGCTCTCGGACCGGGGGCTGGCTGACGTTGAGGACGGGGGTGTTGAGATGGGCTCGGTCACAGTTTTCCTCAAGAAGTTCCGGAGAATGCAGACCGAGGTCCGAGACCACTTGAAGACGCGGTTGCCATCTTACGCCGTGCCTACCATCTACGTCGTCCTCAATAAGCTGCCTCTGAACCCCAATGGCAAGGTCGACAAGCCCAATCTTCCCTTCCCGGATGTTGCCGAGCGTGTCGAGGATGCTTCAGAAGAGGATGTGAAGAACTGGGAGTCCCTTACTGAAACAGAGCGGTCTGTTGCCCAGCTCTGGGCTGATGTTATCCGAGGTCTCAACCCCAAGACCATTAAGCGGGAGAACAGCTTTTTTGACCTCGGTGGCCACAGCTTGTTGGCTCAGCAGTTTCTTCTGAATGTTCGCAAGAGCTTGGGCAGCGATGTTTCCATCAACGCCCTGTATGAGCATCCCAGTCTGTCAGGCTTCAGTGCACAGATCGACAAGCTCCTATCACATGATGGCAGTAGTGTTGGTCCTGAGGCTGGCGAAGCTGCCTACTCCAAATCGTTGGACGAGCTGGCGAATGAGCTTCCGGCCAAGTACCTGTCGGCCGATGGCAATGCCCTCAACTCGGCTGAACAGCTGACTGTATTCCTCACCGGTGCAACTGGGTTTTTGGGCTCTTATCTCGTGCGTGATGTGCTTGAGCGTACAGCTCGGAGTGTCAAGCTCATTGCTCATGTCCGAGGTGTCAAGGAGCCGACGGCGGCTCTGGAAAGACTCCGCCGTTCCCTTCAGTGGTATGGTCTGTGGAAGGATGAGTGGTCAGGGAGACTCAGTGCCGTGGTCGGTGACCTGTCGCAGCCTCAGCTTGGAATGGACGAGGAAACATGGCGGCGGCTGGCGCAAGAAGTCGACGTTGTGATTCACAACGGTGCGACAGTTCACTGGGTCAAGAGGTATCAGGACATGATGGCCTCCAATGTTCTGTCCACGGTCGATGCGATGAAGCTTTGCAACGAGGGCAAGCCAAAGGTTTTCTGCTTCGTGAGCTCCACTAGTGTTCTCGACACAGACCATTACATCCACCTCTCTGACGAGCAAATCCGAACGGGCCAAGGTGCCGTGATGGAGGACGACGACATGAACGGCAGCCGCACTGGACTCGGCACAGGATACGGGCAGACTAAGTGGGTCTCTGAGCAGCTGGTCCGAGAGGCTGGTAAGCGTGGGCTTGTCGGCTCTGTGATTCGGCCAGGCTATATTCTTGGAGACTCGGAGACGGGTGTTTGCAACGTCGATGACTTCTTGATTCGGATGCTGAAAGGGTGCATCCAGCTCTCATCGCGGCCGCACATTGTCAACACCGTCAATGCGGTTCCTGTCAACCACGTTGCCCGAGTGGTGGTCGCGGCGGCTCTGAACCCCCTTACTAGTGGTGTTCACGTCGTGCATGTCACTGCCCACCCGCGTCTTCGCATGAATGAATACCTGGCCATCCTGGAGTACTATGGCTACAAGACGCCCGAGGTTACGTACCAGGCGTGGAAGGAAGAGCTGGAGAAGTTTGTGTCGGCTGGTGCGCTGGAGAAGGATCAAGAGCAGCACGCTCTCATGCCCCTCTACCACTTCTGTATGAACGACCTCCCGGCCACGACCCGGGCTCCCGAGATGGATGATCGCAATGCCGTGGCCATCTTGAAGGCAGATGCCGACAAGTGGACTGGGGTCGATGACAGCACCGGTCACGGAGTTACCCGCGATGATGTGGGGAGGTTCCTGAGCTACTTGACCCAGATCAAGTTCATTGGGACTCCGACAGAAAGAGGAAGACAGCTTCCTGCCATCAACTCCGAGGTGCTGCAAGGCCTGGCGAGCGGTGGAACAGGCGGCCGTGGAGGCGCGCAATAGGTTTCCTCTCTTTGGTTGGGTACGATACTAGGTATACAAAAGCGGGTTCTTGATTTTTATTGTAGATGCATGTTTCTCATATATGGATGAAGGCATAGCGGCTGAGATGCGGAATGAGCTTGGATTGCTCGAAAATCTTAATAAGATTTTATTCAGGATGATGCCGCCTCGTTTTGTTCGTAGCGATACTTGTCTATGACGCAATTGAACTTCATCATGAGTTAAACAATTTGCACATGTCATTATGGCTTTTGACTCACGTTCATAAATATCCTGTGCTTTGAGTCGATTCTCACCACCCCCGAATATTCATGCCAACTTATGCCCCAAATGAAATTGTGACATGCTTCCCCAAGCTCACGTCAATCCGGCGACACAATGAGCCAATCTTTGTCGCAGCTTGCGAAGTAGCACAACACCCATGGTAAATTATGATCTACGTACCTGATTGCTACCGGCCCCCAGGACAAAGAAACGCCCGAAATGGTGCAATGCCGTGGGGTAAGGGTCTGGGCTTTCTGGGCAGCCGAGCACGATGCGGGGAGCTCTCTTGTCACTGGCTGGTCGACAGGCAGCCCCAGGCACAACGTAGGTCGTGAAAAAAAGTGCCAAGCTTGAAGCAACGTCGAAACAGGCAGGATGTGAGATGACCCCTCTTGGCCCTGGGGCACGTTTCCCGCCATGCGGGAGAATGTCTCACTCAGCCCAGCCCGCGAAAATGAAGCCATTTGTGTGGTACTTGACGCCATACCTACTTACTTCCCGCCGAGCTCCCAGCCATTTTTAAT